AGCCAAGGTTTAGAACAACTACATTTCATTCCTTTCACTCAGAATAGTAGCTTATCTTGATTTCTCTCCTTTTTTTAATGAATTTCTTTAATGAATTTAAAGAACACTTTTTAGTGTTTTAAATTTACCTAGAAACTTATCTCTTCCTCCAGTACATATTTTCCCTCTCTGGTCTTCCTTAGATTCACTTTGTTTATCTGCTTCTGAACCCTTCAACAATTTTATTTTGTTTTATTTCATTTATCTTTAATCCTTTTTGTTAAGTGATAAAACTATTTCAGGCTACCAACTTTTACTCTAACAAATATCTGTGTATGGTATTTATTGATATATGTTACTTTTATTATCAGTATTTTTTTAGATAGTCTGTAATTACTGTTTTGATTGCCTGTTTGATCTAAGGATTGTTTTCAGAAGGCTTTCTCCCCCCAGTTTTCAAGTAGGTGGGATTATTATTGTAATCATGTCTAGTTTTATTTTTGTCACAGAACTTCTTCTGAGTTACTTGGACAATACTAAAATATCTGATCTTTTAAAAAAATTTTTATTATTGAAGTATATCTGCTTTATCTTAATTGAAATGTGTAACACCAGGCACTTAAAAAAGGGAAAGCAAACTGATAATAGTGAGTTTAATAAACAGAAAAGGAAGTGGCACCAGCTGCCCTTCCATCCAAGCAAATTGATTTCCTAGTTTTAGCCTTCTTCTTGGGAAGGAAGTGCTTGAGACTGGATGCACCAGAATCCCAGGTGTGTACTCAGGACTAAGGCTTTTTTATTGCATCTGTTACACACTCTTGTTTATCAGAAGCAAGTCCACTCTAAAGTCATTACATTAAGCAGGAGTCAGCAAATGTCTTTTGTAAAGGGGCAGATAGTACATATTTTAGGCTTTGTGTGTTGGATTACTAATATTGCATGGAATGTATTTATAATAAAAAGTTATTCATTGTTTATCTGAAAAACACATTTAATGAAGCATCTTATATTGTTAATTGCTAAATCTGACAACCCAATTTATAGGCTATATGGTCTCTGTGGCAACTACTAAGCTCTACTTAGTGTGGTGGGAAATACATAAGTAAATGGGTGTGGCTGTGTTCCAGTTAAACTTTATAAAAATAGGCAGTGGACTATATTTGGCTCGGGGACCATAATTTGTCCACCCCTGTATTAAACCAGTAGTTTTCAATGTTTAATGTGCATCAGAATCACATGGAGGGCTTGTTAAAACAGTGGTTTCTGGGCCCCATCCCCAGAGTTAATAATTCAGTAGTTGGGGTGAAGGCCAACAATTTGCATTTTTATCAAGTTCTCAGGTAACGCTGCTGGTGGTGGTAGTCTGTACGCCACACTTTGAGTACCACTGCATTATAAGAAATGCCTGTTGCATTTTTATTCCTAAAATCCACTCAGAGGAACACAGGCCTATTTATTATTATTCATTCAAAAATTTCACCAATCTTATAAGACAAAAAATTTAAGTGCTGAAATTTAAATATTCTCATGGCCGGATCTTCTTGATCAGCTGTGCTTCCCTAGCACATATAGTACCTTTGGGCTAATTAGAAAAAGTCACTCTCTCTCTCAGGGAAGAATTAGGAAAAAAGGCACCGCACTTCCCCTGAACTCACACCTCACTAGGGTGCACAGATTGATAAACTGAGCACAGGCTAGATTGCACGGCCTGGATTTCAATATTCACTCTTTCCTTCAGGGGCCTTTGTGCCATATACAAATGGCACAACACTCCTGGTGACCCTGCTGATCAGAAGAATGTTATCTACAATTTATTTATAAAAAAAACACATTCTAAATGTAAAAGATTCAGTAAGAATTTACTTCTTTCCTTGAAGTAAAACAAAAACAAAAACAAAAACCCCAGCAAACAATATTGTCTTTTATTCAGTTGGCTTTGACAGACTTTTTTCAGCTTTAATGAGGTATAATTGACAAAAATCGTAAGATATTTAAAGTGCACCACAATGATAAACAATATTGGTAAGCAAAATCCTATATACAAGCTGACCAGCCCCCTGTGCTCTTTTTCTCCCTCAAGGGAAGAAAGTAAACACAATTTTCAGAAATCTCCTCTGACAGAAGAGGAGAAAATTTCAGAAGAAAAAATTTCTGAAATTTTTCATTGCTGAACATGATTCATCATCTTCAACACCTGGACAGACCCCAGGCTCCAGGCTCAACAGCCCCAGTGTGAGCATAGTGAATATAGTCTGAACTGTTCTGGCTCTTTGGAATTCATTTCAGGTTTCTTTATACTCTAATAGATCAACAGTATTTTACAAGTGTTCCATGGCCCTTCAAAAGAGTACATTCCCTACATGGAGGCATAGAGTTTGAAATATATTTGCTTAAAATGTATGCTTTTTTGTTACTGTTACCCATATATTATATGGATTCTCTATATTCTTACTTATCCCCTTGATCTAATGACTTAGAATATAGTATAATACCCATGAAGTCAGAGAGAAAGTTCTTATGCATGATTTTATATCCCTGGCACCTTGCAAAATATATAGAACATAGTAGGCACTCACTTATTAAATAAGTAAAAATTTTGGCTGTAAAATGGCATGGAATGCAATTGTTCCCAGTTGCCAATTCAAACAAAAAGTGAACTTTTATCCTTTATACTTTCTCCCTATTGGACTTACAGCAGATCTTCCAATCAGGAGTCAATGCTGCGTTTCGTCCTGAAGATATACTTCTCCCCAACATTTAAGTTTTGAAGGCAGGTTCTACTCAGGCCTTATGTTGATCTTAAAAGCTTTTAAAATATAAACATAGAAAACAAAACAATTGAAAAGACATGAATGAAAATACTGATATGTTTCTCTCTGGGTGATTATTATTTATTTTATTTAAATTCAATTAATTAACATATAGTGTATTATTAGTTTCAAATGTAGAGTTCAGTTATTCATCCCTTGCATATTACACCTAGTGCTCATTACATCAGGTGCCCTCCTTCATGCCCATCACCCACTTACTCCATTCCTCCACCCACCTCCCCTCCAACAACCCTCAGTTTGTTTCCTATAAGTATGAGTCTCTTTGGGTTTGTCTCCCTTTATGATTTCATCTTATTTTATTTTTCCCTCCGTTCCCCTATGAGCCTTTGTTTTGTTTCTTAAATTCCACATATGAGTGAAACCATATGATAATTGTCTTTCACTTAGCATAATACCCTCCAATTCCATCTACGTTGTTGCAAATGGTAAGATTTCATCCTTTTCTTTATCCATTCATCTCTTGATGGACATCTGGGCTCTTTCCATAGTTTGGCTAATGTGGACATTGCTGCTATAAACATTGGGGTACAGGTGTCCCTTTGGATCACGTTTCTATCCTTTGGGTAAATACATAGTAGTGCAGTTGCTGGGTTATAGGGTACCTCTACTTTTAACTTTTTGAGGAACCTCCATACTATTTTCCAGAGTGGCTGCACAAGCTTGCATTCTCACCAACAGTGTAAGAGGGTTCCCCTTTCTCTGCATTCTCGCCAACATTTGTTGTTTCCTGTCTTGTTAATTGTAGCCATTCTGACTGGTGTGAGGCGGTCCCTCATTGTGGTTTTGATTTGTATTTCCCTGATGCCGAGTGATCAGCATTTTTTCATGTGTCTGTTGGCCATTGGGATGTCTTCTTTGGAGAAATCTTTATTCATGGCTTCTGCCCATTTCTTGACTGGATTATTTGTTCTTTGGGTGTTGAGTTTGATAAGTTCTTTATAGATCTTGGATACTAGCCCTTTATCTGATATGCAAATATCTTCTCCCATTCTATGGGTTGTCTTTTGCTTTTGTTGACTGTTTCCTTTGCTGTGCAAAAGCTTTTTATGTTGATGAAGTCCCAATAGTTAATTTTTGCCTTTATTTCCCTTGCCTGTGGAGACATGTCTAGCAAGAAGTTACTACAGCCAAGATTGAAGAGGTTGCTGCCTGTGTTCTCCTCTAGGATTTTGCTGGATTCCTGTCTCACATTTAGGGCTTTCATCCATTTTGAGTCTATTTTTGTGTATGGTGTAAGGGGATGCTCCAGCTACATTCTTCTGCATGTGGCTGTCCAATTTTCCCAACACCATTTGTTGAAGAAGACTGTCTTTCTTCCACTGCATGTTCTTTCTGTTTTGTTGAAGATTAGTTGACCACAGAGTTGAGGGTCCATTTCTGGGTTTTCTGTTCTGTTCCGTTGATCTATATGTCTGTTTTTTGTGCCAGTACTGTACTGTCTTGGTGATTCTTTTAATTTACTTAATTTTGCTTTTGTTTTTTGGTATTTTCTAGATGTTCTATAATGAACAGGCATTACTTTTATAGTAAAGAGAAGAAAAATGTACAATTAGAAATATCAGTCATTTTTTTCTCTGACATTTCTACTCTCTAGTTTGACTTCTACTCATTGAAATTACACAGAAAAAGAAAATTCACTCTTCTAGATGCAGAACCCAGTAAGATTTATTTATAAATTTATTTTTTTCATTTATTTTTGTTTCAAGTTTTTCACTTAAATTCTAGTTAGTTAACATAAGGGTAATATTGGTGTCAGAAATAGAATTTAATGATTCAACATACATAACACACAGTGCTCATCACAAGTGCTTTCTTAATATTTAAATGGGCCTCTCAGATTCTGCTTGAGTCTTCTTTAAAGTTTTCTTCAAAACGTTGTCACATGGTTCCCAGATGTTTCAGCACTAGCATTTTCAGTGCCCATGACACTCCTGACTCACATGGAGTGTACTAAAATTCCTTTCTTTTTCATTCCTTTGTCTGCAATCTGTTTTTATACAACTAGGTAGCATCTATACACAACTGTCTCTTATGTGTTTTTCCTGTCTTCCCTCTTCAAGCAGGCCGCAGATGGTGGACCTAAGGAACGGCAGCACAGTGGCAGAGTTTATCCTCGTGGGCTTTGAGCAGAGCTCCTCTTCCACTCAGGCATTGATCTTTGCCCTCTTCTCAGCCCTCTACAGCCTTGCCATGGCCATGAATGGCCTCATCATCTTCATCACCTGGACAGACCCCAGGCTCAACAGCCCCATGTACTTCTTCCTTGGCCACCTGTCCTTCCTGGATGTCTGCTTCATCACCACCACCATCCCACAGATGCTGATCCACCTGGTGGCCAAGAACCACATTGTCTCCTTTGTCTCTTGCTCGACCCAGATGTACTTGGTCTTCTCTATGGGTGTGGCCGAGTGCATCCTCTTGGCTTTTATGGCCTATGACCGTTATGTTGCTATCTGCCACCCACTCAGCTATGCCCAGATCATGAGCCGGCAGGTTTGTGTGAAGCTGGTAAGCACTGCCTGGTTCTTTGGGCTGATCAATGGCATTCTGCTTGATTACATGACATTTCGTGGTCCGTTCTGTAGAGACAACCACATAGAAAACTTCTTCTGTGAGGCCCCCATAGTGATCGCTCTCTCTTGTGGAGACCCCCAGTTTAGTCTGACGACGATCTTTGCCGATGCCATCGTGGTGCTGCTCAGCCCCATGGTGCTCATTGTCATCTCCTATGCACACATCCTGGCCTCCATCCTTGGCAGAGCCTCCTCCTCAGGTCGTGGAAAGACCTTCTCTACTTGTGCTTCCCATCTGACTGTGGTCATCTTTTTCTACACCTCAGCCATGTTCTCTTATATGAACCCTCGCAGCACACATGGCCCTGACAAAGACAAGCCTTTCTCCCTCCTCTATGCCATCATACCCCCATGTGCAACCCCAACATCTATAGTTTTCAAAACAAGGAAATGAAGAGGGCCATGGTGAGGGCCCTTGGGAGGACCAGCCTGGCCCAGTCTGAGTGTGTCTAGTGGGAAGCCTCCTGGAAGAGAAGCTCCCTCCCCAAGCCCTGACAATTGCATAACTCTCCAATGCTGAAAAACTCCAGGAAAAAGCATCCATAGTTTTCTTCCTACTAGCATCAGACCTGGAAGATCCTGTTGATGTTTAATGCTCATCTGTCTGATTTTAACCAATCAACTACATTGATCCTTCCAAATTCCTCTTACTGATATATGTTCACGATTGGAGGGGCAAGTGTAATGAAATGGAAAAGTTTATTCCAAAATTGGGGGAAAGGTAGTAGGCGCTTAAACAGAAGGAAGTAATAGGATGACCAGTCCATTCTTTGGAGTATTTCTTTCCTGGGCAAAGGCAAATAGCAGGAGCTCCATCTATGAAAAAAGAGCATACCGAAAGCCATGAGGGAAACAAGGGAATCTACAGAAGTTGGAGAAAGAGCAGTAGGGTGGGAGAAATATGCTAAGAGGTGTGTGATGTTATCCCTATATGGTGGCATCAAAATTATCCAAGAAGTTCCCAGAAAAAATAAGAACTGCTGAATGGGATTGTATTACTCCTCAAAGGAAGCAAGAGGAGGAGGTATATGCCAAATACATGTGAATTATTAGTGGGGAGGTGGGAGGGCAGAAGCAAGAGCAGGAAGTCTGAGGACAGCACCCAGTTCCCCAGACTGTGAACTGGGAGTGGTAGCTATAGAACAAAATCTCCTAGGGTCAGGGAAGCTTCCAGTGACATCTGCATTTTATAAGAATATAAAAAGAGCACTTTAACTTATTCGTGTATTTGTCTGCTTCTACTGGAAGATTTTGTCACTGGCCTGGATGTTTGTTGTTCAATTTAAATGTTTCCCTTTTCTTCAAAAGATTCCTTCCTATGTCTTCTTTTATTTATAATACACTACCTTTCCTGAGACGCTGCTCACATCTCTTCTTTCTCCCCTACCCCTAGTCAGTTACCTAATGTCTAGACAGGGGTTCTCAGCAGGGATGATTCTCTCCCCCAGATGCATTTGGCAATATCTGAAGACATTTTTTAGTTGTCACAACCGAGGGAGGGTGTGTGCTACTGGCACCTAGTAGGTAGAGGTCAGAGATGCTGCTGAACATCTTACAATACACAGAACAGCACCCACAATAAAGAATTCTGCAGCCCAAGAATCATTAGTGCTGAGCTTGAGTAACCCTGGTCAGGAGATAAAGTATTAAAAGAGCAGAATGGGGAAGATGATAAGAGGTATTGATATGGGAAAAGAAGAGGCAGGAGGAAACCAAGAATTTAGAATTCAGAATTCTATCTTATTTCTGGTTTACTGTGAGCAAGCTTTCTCCTGGCACTGCCATGGCAACAATCTATGTAAGTAATTGTGATAAAACCTGCTCTAAAACCACTGTGTTTGTCTCTATCTGAGCCTACTTCTATGCCTCCAGTTTTCCCAAGTTATAAGACTTTTCCTATCCAGTCATGCACTCCTGCCTGCCACAAGCATGGACACCTACATAAGTTCTGCCCTTTTCCTCTGTTACTTCAACCCAAACTTCACCCACCCAACAGTCATCTTTCCCTTGTTCCCATAAATCTCACATTCCTGCCAAACTAAATCCTAACATCCATCACCTTTGCTCATTTGCAGCAGGACTCCTGCACATGCCATTTAGTGCAACCCATGAAAACCATGTGGGAATATTTATGGGAATACTTCCTACAATGTCAATATTTTTCTCATTCACTTTATCAATCTCCTTCTTTCACCAATGCTTATATTTCCCCACCCATATGTTCCATTTGTAGGAAAGGTCCACTCTACCTTCTGTGTGTGCTAGATACTTTCTTTTGCCCCTCTAGAATGAAATACACACCTTTTCCTCTGGTCTCTGTCCTGGTAGACAGACCTTTGTTGGTTGCCTCAATGGGTTTTGTTGCCTCTACATACTGGTCGGGTTCAACTAATAAGAGTTATTTAGTAGGATAGAGGAAGGCAGGAGAAGAAGGAGTGAGGATGTTTATTCTCCTGCTCCTTCCCTGATGTCCCAGAGTTACCATCAGGTGGCCTTCTACAGTTCCCTTTCCTGTCCCCATAAGGTGGTACCTGCTCCCTGCTCTTGAGAGCCCAGGATGATTCACCATCCATTTTTGATTCCCCTTAATCCTTCCATATCCTGGTAAGCACCTTCATTAGTCCTATTTAAGTATGCCAACCATTTCCTCCCAGCACACTGACTGACCTAGTAACAGGTACCAGGTACATATTACCAAACACAAATGGAAAATTTCTCAAAATAAACCATGTACGAGTCCATAAAGCAAATCTCAAAACATTTCAAAGATATGAAGTCACATAGACCAAGTTCTCTGACCATAATGCAGTTAAGTTAGAAAGCGGTATCAAAATGATAACTAGAAGAAACCCATATGGTTGGAAATTAAGAAACATAATTGTAATTAACCTATTTACCAAGAAATGAATATAAGACTAGTCCAATATGGAAAGAGTAAAGAGCTTGGAAGTAAAGGGCTCGCACTCCCACCCTCACCAATAAATAAGGGTAAACAAATGGAAAATCAACAACACTTCTTAGATCTATCAAAGAATTGAAGTCACAGGGGAAACCACCACTCCCAAAACTGGGAGACAAGTGAAGACAGAAAATCACAACTTTCTGGGAGTGGAGCCTGCAACTGGAGCCTGGTCAGAATACTTAAAGGGAAATTGACTAGTTATTGGAGACTGAGAATGGGCTAACTTCAGAGATAAAATCTCCTCAGGGCCTGCCCTCAGAGGAGCCCTTATAGTTTCATGAGTTTTACTTCCAGCAGCCCCACCAGATTCTCATGATGAAGATGAGAAAAAAATCCCCTTGTGCTTCAGCAGGGGGAAGGGACAAGTGAGCATTTTGAAATAAGCCCGGAGAACCCTGTCTGCCCTCAAGGAAAACTATTTGATGAGAATCTAACAAATCTGGGGAAGGATCCATGAAACAACAACAACAAAACAAACACACAAAAGCCAAACAAAACAAAACAAAACAAAACAAAACTGAGAGGGACCTGTGAAGGTTGTTACAGCCCAGGGACACAGGCTCATTAGAAGACCAAGACCTAATCATAGGACTATGGAATGTTTCCCCTCCCCTGTACCTTACCACCACATCAATAAGGCTGTGGATTTTCAAGGATCATAGCTGAAAGATCTGCAACACTCAGACCCTATTTAAGAAGGAGTTTATAGGGAAACAAAAAAAGACAGCAAAGGAGACAAAAGCAAGGACATGTGAGCAAATTTTAGCCTCTGACACCACAGCTACAGCAAACATTAAACACAGCCTAACACCTAACACAAAACCTCCCACTGAAAGCCTATTTACCTCGGTTCCTACTGCCTGATACCTCATGTCAGGCTTTCAACACAAGAATTGATTATGATAATAATTAGAAAAGTTTACAAACCCCAAATTAGTAATGAAACTACTTACCATTTTGTGGGATGTACCTAGAGCAATACTTTTTTTAATTAGGAAAAAAGGAAGTGTTAAAAAGTAATAAATTAAGCTACCAACTTAATCACAGAATAGATTATGCAAGGAACATAGAAGGAATAAAAATGCATATAATAGATTGATTGAAACAAATCCAAAGATTGATGAAATTGATAGAATTAGAAGAAATTAATAATTTCACAGGTCTGTGGCATGACTGATCAAAAATAGACTTAAAAATGGGGGCACTAACTGCTAGGATAAATGAGGCAGAAGAGAGAATCAGTGATATAGAAGACCAAATGATGGAAAATAAAGAGGCCGAGAAAAAGAGAGAGAAACAACTACAGGATCACGAGGGCAGAATTCGAGAGATAAGTGATAAGATAAGATGAAACAACATTAGAATAATCGGGATCCCAGAAGAAGAAGAAAGAGAGAGGGGGGCAGAAGGTATATTGGAGCAAATAATAGCAGAGAACTTCCCTAATGTGAGGAAGGAAACAGGCATCAAAATCCAGGAGGCACAGAGAACCCCTCTCAAAATCAATAATAATAGGTCAACACCCCGACATCTAATAGTAAAACTTACGAGTCTCAGAGACAAAGAGAAAATCCTGAAAGCAGATTGGGAGAAGAGATATGTAACCTACAATGGTAAAAATATTAGATTGGCAACAGACCTATCCACAGAGACCTGGCAGGCCAGAAAGGACTGGCAAGATAGCTTCAGAGCACTAAACAAGAAAAATATGCAGCCAAGAATACTATATCGAGCTAGGCTGTCATTGAAAATAGAAGGAGAGATAAAAAGCTTCCAGAACAAACAAAAACTAAAGGAATTTGCAAACACGAAACCAGCCCTCCAAGAAATATTGAAAGGGGTCCTCTAAGCAAAGAGAGAGCCTAAAAGCAGCAAAGATCAGAAAGGAACACAGACAACATACAGTAACAGTCACCTTACAGGCAATACAATGGCACTAAATTCATACCTTTCAATAGTTACCCTGAATGTAAATGGGCTCAATGCCCCAATCAAAAGACACAGGCTATCAGATTGGATTAAAAAACAAGACCGATCAATATGCTGTCTGCAAGAGACTCATTTTAGACCCAGAGACACCCCCAGATTGAAAGTGAGGGGGTGGAAAACCATTTACCATGCTAATGGACACCAAAAGAAAGCTGGGGTGGCAATCCTTATATCAGACAAACTAGATTTTAAAACAAAGACTGTAATAAGAGATGAGGAAGGACACTATATCCTACTTAAAGGGTCTATCCAACAAGAAGATCTAACAATAGTAAATATCTATGCCACGAACATGGGAGCAGCCAATTATATAAGGCAATTAATAACAAAAGCAAAGAAACACATTGACAACAATACAATAATAGTGGGGGACTTTAACACCCCCCTGACTGAAATGGACAGATCATCTAAGCAAAAGATCAACAAGGAAATAAAGACTTTAA